TTATATTTAATAAACTCACTAATAGTTATGTCAATGTTGAGTTTAAATTTTACTATTGTAATTAATACAAGGAACAATTATGATTTTTTGAGCAACTCATGATGATTATTATCAAAAAGGTTAGGCATATTAGTTGAAACAAAATAAAAATTTTGGAAAAAAAAGTCTCATATTTAAAAGATTGATGACTAGTGATAGAATTTATATTTAAAATTTTCAAAGATTTGGAGTTGTATTGAATTTTTTCCAAAAGTTCGGGAGGGACCACGCCCCCCGTCTACACATGGCTCCACCCATGTCAGAGGTGCAAGGTAGGTGGGGGTGGGACAAAAAATTTTGCGGCTAAAAAAATTCAAAAATTGAGGAAATCATTAGGGGTGGGCATCGGTTCGGTTTGGTTGAAACCGAACCTGAATTGATGGTTTTAATCGGTTGCTTGTTTTATAAAATAATAATTAAAAACCGAACCAATTAATATTTTGGTTATTCAATTCGATTACTAAATTAATCAGTTCGGTTAACATCGATTTTGATTTTAACCGATTTTAACCTTAATCCCTTAGCTTTTTTTTTTTTTTTTTTGAGATTGGGCCTTACGATTTGTGACTCAACCCAAATATCCAACATATGCTGTGATTCATTTTCTTTAATTTTATGATTTGAATATTTTAACCAAATATCCAAAGTAACAAAGTTAATAAACTATTACACTTCATAAGTAAAAAAAATAGATAAAATCATTCGCCATCAAACTGTGTCAAAGACTCAAAGGGATAGGCACATACCCCAGAAACAATGGCGACATCCAAAAGCCCTTTGAATTGTCATTGGCCATTAATTGAGCATTGTATTACATCAGTGCCAAGCCTGGTACGTGCATAATCCAAATGATATAACAACAACAATGTAGTTGCCCTAGCAGCACTCCCTGAAGCCACATTTCCAGCAAACCACTTCACACAACCATCTCTCTTTTGAGCGTCCAAAAAATGCCAATCATCACAATTCATGTTGAAACATCTTTATTTGTAAAAAACCCAAAAATAAAATATCTCTCAATTGTCAACAAGGAAAATAACATCAGAAACTCAACCTTTCATAATGGTCCAGGAGCCTACAAAAAACCAGGATACTAAACAAAGGTTAATAGGTTACATCTAGGTCCTGACACAATAACTATAGCAAGTTCAAGGTGGCATAACTGGAAAGAACAATATGACAACACCTCTAACTATTCCATCGAATGAACATATTCTTTTTAACACATAGCACAAATGAATTGAGCAGGTGCTCATTGACAATTCACACATTAAGTCTAGGTTTATCCATCAAATTAACAACTCATGGGCTTAATTGGGTACTCTCAAGGATTTTTTAATACTTGGCAAGCATTTGCAACTTGACATAAGCAGCTCATGGTTTCTGTCAAGTTAATAAAAGTTCTTTAAACTACATAACATATCAACTACATTAAATAAGTAAAATTAATTGAAAAAAAAAAACCAATAACAGAATACTAATTGGAATTAAAATATAATATATTTCATCAAGAACCTATATGGCATCACATTATCACAAGCTATTACTAAAGTTCAGAAAATTACCATTCTTCCTTAACACAAGTTGCATGCTCTGTCCAATTGCCATCTCTCAATACTTCAAAGTTGTCCAAAAGAAAGTCTTTGTCCAAAAGAAACCTGCCTATACAAAAAAAAAACCTATTTTTCCAAAAAAAAAAACTTGTCTAGCTAATAGGCCCAATACCACATAACAAAAAAACACGTTATACACAATGCAGACCACAACCCACAGCATGATTTGCTTTTAAGCTAACAAAAAAACGCGTGTACACTTGTATCTATGACAATTAGCAAAAATAAAATTAGTTAGTAGAAATTATAAATAAACAAAAGAAATAACTGAAAAAGCTTACCTCAACATTAAGTTAGCATAATTTAAAATTATTTAAAAATTTACCTTGTACCTTACCATTTATAAATCCACCATTCATT